GCTTTTATGATAATCTTCTAGTTCGGGTTTTATCCAGTAAGAGTATCTGCTAGTTGCTCTTGTGATGATCTTCTAGTTCAGATAAAGTTTAGTCAGTCACTATGTGTTGTATTGCAATATATTATGCTCAAAGATCTCTTATACTATTACTGATGCATGTTTTCCTTTTAAGACAGAAAAAAAATCACAACTTGTTCTCAACTTATGGAATGAGATTCAAATATTAAGAGAGGAAAACATTGCAGTCCGTATCGCTTTATTGGGCAATCTTAATACTTTCGGCACATCAGTAAGCATTGAGGTGGGACATTTATAAAAGAATCTTGATTATATTGCATATTTTAATATTTTTTTTGTTACAGCTTACTCAATACGTGAGAGTACAAGAAGAGTTAAATGAAGGTGTAAAACTGCCCGCACGTCGCAGAGGAGAAAATATAACTATGAATGTATGTGAAAGAAAAATTATATATGATGATATCATTAATGCAATAAAAGGCTCATTTATTTAATATTCAGGTAAAAAAAATCAGGGTGAATGGTCAGGATTCACAATTAGACAATAACAATGAAGAAGGTGGGGCAAATATTCAGGCTTCTAATTAAAAGTTTTCAATACTTAATTTTGCATAAATTTATGCCTTCTAATACTAGCTCAAACCCTAACCCTAACTAATAATAATTTAAAATTTTTTTTTTAAATGTATATTAACTTGCGATATCACAACTTGCTACATTTAACAAATTCCTAAATTTTAATGTAGATTTAATACATAATATTAGGTAATATATTTAGACAAATGTAATAGCTAGTATAAGTTTTTATTTACTTGACTATATATTAATAAGCAGTTATTAATAAGAGTATATTATTTATCTTTAATAATCAAATTAATTAGTTTACTATCTATAAAATTAAGATTTAATTTTAATTTTAAATAACAAATTTAACTATCAAAAAAAAATAATAATTACCTCGATAAAATAACGTAATACAATTAATCAACTTGTAATTATATATTTTTGTTTATAAACTTCACTCTCTGCAATAATAGGAATGGGTTGAAAAGATAGCAGTTGACTTTAAATATAGAAACTATCAATTCACGCCACCACCCCAAATGTCTTTCCTGTGAGCATTTCTGAACACACCACAAGCAAAAATGTTACTTAGATAAAATCAGGTGTTTTATTCAATTATATTTTATTATTACACTGTGCTAGTGTTTTTCTTTTGCTAAATTTGAGGTTGTAAATGGGTTCAAAAATCCAAGGTTTGAGTTCTAAAATTTTTAAGCTAGTAAAGTGAGCAACACTGCTTTTATCCTCAACAAAAAATAAAATAAAATAATACAATACTAGCAATCTTCCCCTATACGATAACCTTAACTTCTAAAAACCTGTTCGAACATGCCACCAACTTGTATCGTCCAAATTTTGTACACAATAATTCAACCCTCAATTTAAGTTCAATCCAGTCAATTTGTTTAATCCACGCGCGTTGATGATTATTCGTACAAACTCATGGTTTGTATATTTATTCAAAATCTGTAAATTTTGTACGATCCCCTTATTTATTTTAAATTGTTTTTTCTTATTTATTTTACTTGTTTTGTTAAACAATAAATTAATGAAATAAAATTTGAATTGCGCCAATGTTTCATTTTTACTTTTATTAAAAAGTGTCTGTTCATGTGAATGACGACGATGAAGCTTTAGCAAAATGTCT